GTGTTTGAACTTTAATTTAAAACAATAAATTGTGAGTTAATTAATCATGGATCATTATAAATAATAATAAGCATATGTTTTTCAATTAATTACTTTCTTGGTAATACTATAACACCAGTAGATTTTGGATGCGAAGTCTTTCCACCTGTTTCTGGAGAAGGTAAGTTCCAAGAGGTCCCAGAGACCTTGTCTGTCAAGACGAGATTAGAACTAATGGTATATTTAGTTTAATAAATTAATTAATGGTTCGTAATTTTAACATTATTTTAGTATAATAATTACCTTTGAGTCATTTTGTTAATTTTTTTTCGAGCGGAAAAAAAGGAAATCAATAAATATTATATCATTGAAAATCTGATTATCAAATTGATAAAATTGGTAATATTGATTATCTGATTATTTGTTATCAACAAGTAACAAACAAACAAAGATACGATTTTACCCGTTATTGCATAATTATGTGGTTGTTAATGTTAATTATCAATTAACAATTGCAAACATTTCACCAAATATAAAACATCCTATTCATATTGAAGATGTTGCCAAAGCTATTTATTGGGTCTATCAAAATTCTGATAAATTTGGTTATAATCATGATAGGATTTATTTAATTGGACAAAGTTGTGGGGCTTTTATTGCTACACACTTGGTTTTACTTTCTGAAAAATACTTTGGTAATATATTTAATCAACATCAAGAGGAAAGGAAAGAGGGAAAAGGGGAGGAATTAATAAATTGATAAAATCTATTGTAGGAGTTGTTTGTATTGAGGGAATTTTTGACATTCCATTATTATTGAAGACTTGGCCTGAATATATTGAATTTATTAGATTACCATTTGGTGAAGATGAACTTATTCATCAATCAGCTTCACCCCAACACATTCTATCAACAAATAATAATAATGACAATAATAAATTACTACCACCTCATTTAATTATCCATTCATTAGAAGATGAATTAGTGGATTTGAGTCAATCAAAAAATTATTATAAAATTTTAAAAGATAAAAAAACAATTGTTAAGTTAGAAACATCATTGAAAGGTACTCATATGGGAATTATGTATACAATTCAATTGGTTGACAAAATTTGGGAATTTATTATTTCAATTGAATCAAATTAAATATTAATCTTTCTGCATTGATTATAAATAAAAAAACAACACAATTTTAATCTTTTTATTATGAACAATAATCACGATTTGAGTTATGTTTAACCAAGTTCTTTCCCCTTTCTTCTCTTATAGATATCATGTATGTAAAACTAATACTTCTTCTCATCATCTAAAGGATCCAAAAAAAAAATTACAGAATATTTTTAAATAATAAGTGTAAAAAAAATTAATGAATTACCCATAAAGTTTTGTATCCGCAAGACTATGTTTATTTACATCATGTAAATATTGACTATTTACTTTAAAGAGCCAATTATAGAAATTTTAAAAATTTTATCAGAACATGAAGGTATTTTGAGTAAATTCATACTTTTTAATAATATTATTAATATTATATAATGTACATAATATTACAATTTTCTATAAATATATGTATATATAATATTTAAAAAATAATTAATGAATGGATGGATGGATGATGAAAAATTCATTTAAGAAAAAAGGTTTTGTTTTTTATAATTTTGAGAAAATCATTGTTTCAGCTTTATTATCATATTCAGCAACTTGACTTCTTTTACTAAATTGATGCTATTAATTAAATGTAAATGGGATGAATTAGATAAACATATATATATATATCAAATTTAAATTAAGAATAAAATTATGGATACTTACAGCAACTTCAATACCATCATTATGAACTCGTTCTCTTGAATCCAAAGGGATATAAGATCTGACACTTGGACCAACATAAACTTGCCTTGGTCTCCAAATTTTTGTTTCTTTGTCTTCTAATAATTCTTTCCAATGAGCTAGCCAACCTGCAACTCTTGGGATTGCTGTTTTATTTCATATAGAAATCAAACAAGAATTTTTTCAATTTAATTATAAAAACCTTATTTTGTTAAATACAAAAAAAAAAGTGAACCAATTTTTATTTTTATACCAAATAATACTGGAAACATATCAGTTGGAAATCCCATTGCTTTATAAATTAATCCAGAATAAAAGTCAACATTTGGATAAAGTTTTCTTTCAACAAAATAATCATCCACCAAAGCTGCCTTTTCTAATTCAACAGCCACATCTATAAGTGGTTCACGTCCACATACATCAAACACCTATTTTATATATATATATATTTAATGAGTTATATAAACAATCCTTTAAAAAAAATTACATTCACATCTTTCTGATTTGATTATTCAATTAACTACCTCAAAAGCAATCTTTCTGATAATTTTTGCTCTAGGATCATAATTTTTATAAACTCTATGACCAAATCCAAATAACTTCCTTTTTCTTTGTTTAACTTCTTCCAAAAATCCTAATACATTTTCTTTTGAACCGATTTCTTCTAACATTCTCAATACTGCTTCATTTGCACCTCCATGGAGTGGCCCGTACAATGCAGTAGATGCACCTGAAATTGCACTATAAGGATCAACAAGTGATGAACCTATATGTCTCATTGCTGCAGTTGAGCAATTTAATTCATGATCTTTGGGTTTTCATAATTTATATATAGGAGAATGAATTATTTGCTTTTATAATAAAAAAGAAAACAAAGAATATTTATAACCAATTGTCAGCTACCTGCATGAAGAATAAATAGAATATCTAAAGCTCGAGCTAATTTTGGGTTGGGTTTATAATTCTCTTCAGACAGGTGATCAAGCATGTACAAAAAGTTTTCTGTGTATGACAGATTCTTTTGTGGAGCATTGTATTGTCTTTATTAGAGAGTAAAATATATATATAAGTAATCACTATTAATCATTCATTATCAATAATTATAGAAATGAATTAATTAATAAAATTACCTTCCAATACGATGACGATATGCCATTCTATATGTATTAATAAGTAGATTGATAAACATTAATTTTATGAAAAATTAAATATATAAAGTTCTATATCTTTTTTCTAAAAACTCACGCTGCTAGAGTTGGTGTTTTACCCAAAAGTCTAAGTATTTGTTTATTACGAGCTTTTTCATCACGAATGAACAAATCTGACCCCTTAAATATTTATGAAATAAAATTGTAAATTTGTTTAATAAAATAAAAATATTTGAAATTTTTTTTTTTATCACTTACAGCTAAAGCTGGATTAGCATCAGGATGAAAAGTACTCATAGCACCCCCATAGGATGAGCATTATAATTAAATTTACGCATTAATTCAGTCACATTCAAGTGAACAAATGTGTGATACATAACTTCATGATTAAAATTTGTAAATTGTTGTTTAGTAGGAAGTTCTCCATAAATTAATAGATAAGCAACTTCAAGATATGTAGATTTCTCAGCAAGTTGTTCAATTGGATATCCACTAATTTGTTTAATTTGTTATTATCAATGTTGTATTATATTAATATTTACTTTTATTAATATCTCTCCTCTCTTATAACCAATCAAAATACTTACCGATATCTTAAAATGCCAGCATCACCATTAATATAAGTAATTTTTGATTTTGCGACTGCTGTATTTTGAAATGCTATAAAATAAAATAAAATAATTTAATGAATTGATTTTTTAATACCGTAAATTTTGGAAAGATAACACCCCTTCCCTAAAATCATTTGAAAAAAATCTGTTACACGGTTGTAAAAAAGGGGATGCTATCTTTCCGGACTTTACGGTAATTGGAAAAAAAAATACCTGGGTCGTAAACTCTAT